TTGCCCTTTCTTGTTTTGTTGCAACCTCACTTGAGGACCCCTTCTTGACTACCGCAGATGGTTCACTGTTTGTCGCGCTCGACCTGATCACTGATTTCTCACTTGTTGACTTTTCAACCGGCCTGACCTCACTAAACCGAATCATCATGACGGTCTGTGAAGGCTTCTTGGGTTCTCCTCCTTTATGCACTAGCTCAATCATGTTTGTCTCTTGATGGGCTGGCAGCGGGTTCTGGTTGATGTTGGGGTGCCTTCGGAGCTTGGACTTCAATCCGATTTGTATCAATGAGCTCTTGGATAGCATTTTTCAATTGCCAGCATTTCTCTGTGTCGTGCCCCGGAGCACCAGAACAATATTCGCAACTTACAGAATAATCAAGATTTCTCGGGGGAGGATTTGGCAATTTTGACTCGATCGGCCTCAGCATATCCAATTGTCTCAGCCTGTGGAACAAACTAGTATAGGACTCTCCCAATGGAGTGAAGGTTTTCTTCTTCTGCAACCTCTCATTCTTAAATGCTTGATTGGGCCAGAAATCTGGTCTACGAGGGTTTCGGTAGGCTCGTGGGGGTGGGTAGGCATTTTATGGAGCTGGGTAGGTATTTTGTGGGGCTGGCGCACGCCATTGTGCGTGGGCGGGAGGTTGAGTGTATGTTTGGGCGTGGAGGACAGAAAAATGGGGGTTTGGTGGCGGGTAGTAGTGTTGGGGTGGATTATACGAGGTATGGGGGTAGGTTTGATGGTGGGGTCGAGGCTGATTATAGTGGTGAGGTGAGCCCTTGGGTCCTAACCAAGCTCCCGAATCAATCGTTGCCACGTCCTCTTTCTTTTTCTTTCCAATTACTCCCCCAGTTTCACTCTGAATGGCCTGGGTGGTTGCCTTAATAGCCGAATAGCTCATGATTTTGTTTGACTTAAGTCCTTCTTCTACCATACTGCCCATCTTCACCACTTCATTGAAGGACTTGCCTATAGCTGACACCAGATGACCGTAATAAGTAGGTTCTAAGGCCTGCAGAAAATAATCCACCATTTCACTCTCTTTTATTGGAGGGTCAACCCTTGCTGCCTGTTCTCTCCACCGAAAACCATACTCCCTGAAGCTTTCATTATGCTTTTTCTCAATCTTTGTCAAAGACAGACGATCCGGAATAATCTCAAGATTGTACTGGAAGTGACAAGCGAATGCTTGTGCCAGATCATCCCATGAATACCACCTTCCATGATCCTGCCGAGTGTACCACTCCAGCGCCGAACCACTCAGACTCTGACTGAAATACGCCATTAGCAACTCATCTTTCTCGCCAGCTCCCCTCATTTTGCTACAAAAAACTCTCAAATGCGCCACTGGATCACCGTGCCCATCATACAAATCAAACTTGGGCATCTTAAACCCTGCCGGCAATTGCACATCTGGAAACAGACATAGATCTTTGTAAGCCACACTTACTTGACCTCCCAACCCCCGCATGTCTCTGAATGACTGTTCTAGGCTTTTAACTTTCCTGAACATTTCCTCCTATTCGGTATTTTTAGATGGTTTCTCAGTTTCCACAGGGAGATCAAAATGAGGAGTGTAGGAATAGGGTTCTGGAGCTTTGAAAATGGGCTCCGGGGGGTAATATTGGTTATCATGGGCTTGGAACAAGGGCTCGCTAGAGGATCTGTGGAGTGTAGCAGGTGGGGGTGCCACGAAGACAGGAGTAGCTGGTGGAGGAGGGTATGGAACTGGTTTGGGTGGTGGAGCTGGTGGTGTTTGTGAGGTGGTGCTCTGGTAGTGTTGGTAAATGGGAAAGCCCGGGGACGAATCGGTAGCAGGAGGTTCCTGAGACTGAGCCAATGGCGGGACGAAGGCAGGGTTGGCGGGGTAAAGTGGTGGTGGGTGCCCTTTTGCCCATGCTTGGTACATCTCGGCCATCTGTTGTTTCAGCTTATACATCTCTTCTTTCATCACAGTAACATCCAACTCTTCCACCTCTCTCGAAGGATCGATAACACTCGCATCAAGTTCCTGATTGGCCATGATTAATTTATTTTTGGAACGGGTGTTGTATGGGTGAGTTGCCAGAATACCACACAAACTAACCACCTGCCTGTTACTTGACGACAACAACAAACTTGTTAGCGATCAGGGTTTAACAGATAGGCAACCACACATTTGGGGAATGAATGCACCTAAGCAGTTAACCGTTTCTATTATGTATTTGATCGGTTGCTTGCGTCATCCCGGCTTTTCCTTATTTTCATTTGCAACTTCTCTTTTTCTTTTTTTTTTCATTCTTGCCTTTCTTTGCTTGATTTCTCTTTGTTTTCATTTCTCTCTCTTGTTTTGCCATTGTTTCCTTCTCACGGTTTCTTATTTTCTTTCTCTTTTTCTTTTCTTTTTTCTCTCTTGTTTTTCCTCTCTCTCTTTTTTTCTTTCCTTTTCTTCTTTTTCTTTTGGTTATGATCGAATCCTATGGAGATTGCCTACGTATCATGACCCCGCATGAATCAGACCAATCGTAGTTCTGGGGGATAAATGTAAAAATAATGAAACATTTTTAGGATTTTCAAATTTTTCTAAAAAGCAAATGTTTGATTACAACGACTCAAAAACTAACAGACTCAAAAAAAACAAACTAACAGACTCTGATGAAAAGATGAAAATACAGACTCAAAAACAAACTATCATACTCCAACAAAAAGATGAAAATATAGACTCGAAAACGGACTAACAGATTCCAATGAAAATCACGAATACATCAACGCCTCAACTGCTCCTGGGGCCCGCGGGACATCATTCGGTCTCGCCACGGGCCTACGCGCTAAATCCCCTTGGAGGTGGTAGAGATCTTCCATTATCTGGCGGACAAAGGTCATCACAGTGGCAAAGAACATGGATCTAGTCATATCCTCACAACTACTGCATTTCATCGCGATGTAGTCGGCGATCCTTCTAACCCTCTCTCTTATGACACCCTTTTCTCGCAACAAACGCCCAATCTGCTGGGCCCTAGCTTCCAAAGTTTGTTTAGCTACTTGATTCTGTTCTTGAAGTTGTTGCAAATCTCTTTCTAACTGTGCCATTGCTGCATAACAGTGTTCTCTTTCGGCCTTAAAGTTTTTTGCCTGCTTGATCATTTTGTTCTCAACGACGATGATCTTTTTCTTCAACCCCACAACCTTATTGTCATATTTCTCTTTCAATTGTTTAACCAAGCGAGCCCGCTCCTCCGCATTCTTAGCCAGTTTTGTTCGAGACCTGGCTAGTTCACCCTCTGCTTTGTTCGGATCAAAACTATATTCACCCACTTTCTGTCTAAGGTTATCTATAAGCTTTCCATCTTTTGCACTTCTGGCGGGGTTTTCTGCTGCTATTTTCATCTCTCAAATCTGGGCTCGAAGAGCCTCATTTTCTTTGGCTAGCTTTTTCTTTTCACCCTCATCCGCCGCGGCTTGCAAACCATTCTCGAATTGAAGGTCCTGTGTCTCTTGATGACTCTTGGCACAACCAGATACTTGTGTCTCGGAGGAACCTTAGCGCTCCCAATATATCCGGCTATTTCTTCCAAAGTTGGGGTGAGTTCAAAATCTGAGAAATGAAACACGTTGTGGGTCGGGTCCCAGAATGTAACCAACGCCTTTATGATGTCTCCTCTAGGCCTGATCTTCAACAACCCGGTGAGACCTCCCAAATATAGATTGACCTTATCTTGCCCTGATTTACCAAGATCTTCCCACCATATACACAGCTCCAAAGGGATCTTGTTCATGACTGTTATTAGCAAATTTTGACTCGTGCTCATTCTGCACATTTATTAGGGTGATTAAGCAAAATCATGACTCATTTGACCCGAAAACAAAGTTAACACTGTTTTTCTTTTCTGTTTTCAAATTTTCATTTCAAAAATAAAAACTCGGCTTTGCAGATACGGTCTTTCAGCACTTCCGGGGAGAAGATTTTAAGGCTGTGCTTGCTAACCGGCCAAAAATTGAAAAAGAGACCAAAGGCGGCTGTTCTTGCAAAAACAGCCTTCCGGCGTCCTTTTGGGGACATTCGGCTATTTTGACAAGAATGGCATCACCTTACTTATTTACAACAAAGCAATAAAAAAAATTTTGGTTCTTTTTGGGCTATTTTTGCAAAAAGGGAAGTTGGACCCGATGGGGGTTGCCTACGTATCCCACATCCGGTGAGAATCAAACTGGCGTAGTTCGGGCAATTTTGACAAAACAAAAACCAACTTTTTTTTAAAAAAAAAAACACAAAACTTTCTTCTTCTTTTTTTAAAAATCTCGGCAGAGTTTCAGTATATTTTGGACATTGGTTTTTCAAAAATAGACAATTATCTCTCTCAGTCCTCCCATTGACTTTCCTTGTCAACTTTTCCCCTATAAGCCAGTCAACATGCAAATCCGAAGCAAATGAATGCACAAGTAGCAAGTAAGATGCATCAGGATGGTCTTTTCATTTCGGGTACACCTGTCCTAGACAAACCCAACCCCTTTGTTGAGTCTCCAAAGTCAAATGCACATGATGCAAACAAACGTTCCTACTAGGGATCCGGCATGAGGCTGAGTTATTCTAGGTTCAAAACCTGGGTATTTGTTCTAGACTTGTTACCCGAGCGGACAACTCGAGCCGAGGAGGGGGCTACATATCGGGAACCAAAAGGCCATCCGGCTTAGTAACTTGTCCGAACCTCTTTCTTATTTCAAGGTATGACACTAACAGAATAGGGAGTCATGACCAGCGAGCACATCCCCGAAGATGAGAAGAGAAGGGTTTCGTAGCAGTTTATATACAATTCAGATAATATCAAAGCGGTAAAAGCAACATTTAGCACATTAGGCCCAAGCATGTAATAAAATTAGACAATAGATAAAGCCAAATATAACAATTCATCTAAGCTCGAATTTGAACCCTGAACCAGAGATTCTGGGTTCTTTTCCCCAGTAGAGTCGTCAGAGCTGTCACACCTCCTTTTTACCTACACCCTCGGAAGAGGTATAAAAAGGAATTTTTTCCAACTTAAAGTGACAATCGAAACGGGATTTATTTATTAAATTCAGAGTCGCTACTTGGAATAATTTATGGTGTCCCAAGTCACCAGTTCAAATCCCGAATCGAGGAAAAGATTGACTCTGTATTACAGTCCGCGAACCAGAAATTCGGGTAAGGAATTCTGTTAACCCGGGAGAAGGTGTTAGGCATTTCCGGATTCCGTGGTTCTAGCGCGGTCGCTCAACTATTATTAATGGCCTATTATCTGATTTTAGTACATGTTTTAGCCTATGATGCAATTTTAAACCTTTAACCGCTTTTATTCATTTTTTTTAAAAAAATTGCAACGTCATTTAAAATATGTCTTGAACCACGTCACATAAATGCACCCACAGTCCGCTACACATTTTATATAACATTGTTGAGATTTGGATTTGGGTCACATAAATGTGCACCCGAGTTTAGGAAGGTAATATTATTAAAATAACGCGCCTAAAGCAACTACGCGTTTTTAACTTTGCGAGGGCCATGGAAAATTTGCTAAATAGCACGCCTCGAATTCTAAGGATTTTTAAAAGAAATAATTAAATGAGGGCCACGCATTTGAGATTTTATTTGGCGCGGCGCACCTCAATTCCTATTATAAAAAGGGAATCCAACTACATTTGGAGGGCCATAAACTGTTGATGTTGCCTAATATGGCTCACCTCCAATCTAATTAATGTGATTAACTAATTGACTAGAAGCATAGAGAATTTTTAAAACAAAAATTATTTCAGTGAATGTTTGTACTAACACTTAAAGGAATCATAACGTATAAGGATAACCCAATTACTTGAAACTGATTTGGGCTCACGATGGCCATCAATGAGTTCGCTTGAAGCAGAACCACATACGGTCCAAATAGGCCATTATCCTATTTCCAAGTGAATTCAGAATCTGGGCCCAAATTGAGCTTAAACTCCACGGGTGGATAAATACCCAAACATACGGACCTGGGATCGAATCCCTACCTCAAACTCGGCACAAACGAATCAGCCTAGCTTGAGTAAAGCTCCAATAATAAATCAACATATGATAAGATAAATGCAAGATTCTAAAACTTTAACATCCCAATAACAGGCTGCATATCCTTTTGAAATATTCTACTGACAATAGACACCTGGGATTCGAAATTACTAATTAATCATTCTCATATCACACTCGATACTTAACCAGCTTAATTTTGCAATGATTATCGAACATGTAATCCCCTGTTTGAATTATAATCCTCAAAATGATGCAAACTTAGAACCAAATCCTAAAAAAAATCTGAAGCAATGTAATCATGCCATATACTAATTATGAACTGAAATTCAAACATTAACTTAAGCAAATTTAAACCAAACCAACATGATATTCCCTAACTGGCTTAGGCCTGCACTACAAAAACATTCAGATCCTTTAAATGTTCAAATACAAAATCCTTCAGCTCAATCACAGAA